GAACCTGGAAAGAAAATTATTCCAGAATGATTTTTAAACCTTTTTTCAGGTTTAGTGCCATATATATTTGACATTTGTGACTCCATATACAGGTAGTACTTGACTTACGACCACAATTGTGAACCAAGCTTCCCTCACTAAGTGATACGGTCATTAAGTGAGTCATGCTTGATTGTATGACTTTTTTGCTGTAAATGATATTTATTGATGTGTTGCCCATCTCAGAATAATATTAATCTAGATGGTGTAAAAGTTATGTTTATGTTTTAATTGTTTAATGACTTTTAAAGTTTTATTTAAAGGTTGACTCAGCCTTCCATCCTTCCGAGGTGGGTAAAATGAGGACCCAGATTGTTGGGGGCAATATGCTGACTCTCTGTAAACTGCTTAGAGAGGGCTGAAAGCCCTATGAAGCGGTATATAACTCTACTGCTATTTCATAAGGTTTCTGTGCTTCTTTTTGTCATCTATTGGTTATTAAGATTCCTGCAATCTGGATACAGTATCCCTATTCCAACTATAATTTTAATTTGTAATTTCATTTACAACATCTATTTTAATTGGTACATATAGAAAGCACGAGAAAAAATATGTACAACTCTAGTTATTACATACAGAGACCGATATTTTTCTAAGAATCAATATAACAAGAAATAATAACTGGCAACATAACCATGGAATTGTGCAGATCGCTTATTAGTCAAAATACTGCCTGCAAAAGTGTTTTACTCATAAAAGAAACAATAGCTGCCAAAACAATTTGAATATTCATATTCGTAAGGAGGAAAGAATATATAAATTAACTCTACTAGAAGGGAAAACTAAAAGCACAGTAGACTTTTCTGACTTCTAGTTGTGTCCATTTCAACTTCAGAGCTCCGCAAAAAGCATACCCCTGCCAAGAATATAGAAGCTGGAGACCACCAAGGCTGAGAAAGCTAGATTAAAGACATGGAAAAATTAATCAGAATCACAGAATAAGAAGGGCATGGAAAATTAAGTTTTGCGATGCAGTTGCCAATTTTGACATATTGAATTTATAAAATTCAGAAGTGTACGCTCCAAAATATTAAAACTCATCTCAAATTAAAGTTTAAAATATGTAATTATTTCTTATCAGAACATACTAACTTCAGGACATTGCAAGATCTTCATTGTCCTAATGAAGCATTATTCTCATTACACCTGCAGCAATGCAATGATTTAGTCATTGTTCTTTCATAAAAGCAAATTAGAGCATAATGAGATGCAAAGAACAGTACGTGTAATATAAAAGCTACACTATTAATAACTGAAATTTAGCCATAAATAATTATAAATAACACAAACTGTCTAGCATACTTGTTAGACTAATGCCAAATACTTAAATACTATATAAAGTGACTTGAATGCTAGCCTGCAAGAACTGAACTGAAACAATTGAA